AAAGTCTTTGGTAAAAGCTGTCTTATAAAATCATATATAAAAGAAAAACTGCTATAACTTTTTTTCGATATCAACACAATAGAGTAAAATAAAATATTAATGGCATACGGAGAGTTGTTGACAGAAGTTATTTCTTATGTCAGCATATAATTATTTCTTACTAATTTTTCAAAGCTTGCCAACAGATACTAACCTTCAAGTAATCAGTGCAGGGGCCCCAGTAATCATGATATCTAACAATATCAAAAACATCAAATTTAAAGTTAACGGTTGCTTTCTCGTGGTCAGTATCCAGAATCCACGTGTAGTTGACGTTGTTTGGGTAGTTACCAGGGAAACCTGGTGAGACCAAACTTCCCCTGATACCTGATATATTCTTTGATACAATCAGTTCATTATATCCACAACCTTAAATTTCAAAATTGATGATTTAAACAACACATCTTTTCATCTGCAAGTAACGCGTATCTTAGATTATTTAAACGAAAATGATATCATAAAACATTTAACTTACGTAACTGAAACACTAACATATACAAGAAAACAAACCAGTCCATCTTATATTTTAGTAATTTCTACACATCTTTTTGAACATGGTACACGCATATCGTTGAATTATCATAAACCACTAAAACATGGTTATGCAAGGAAATTGCAACAAGAGTATGAAATTTATTTTACAAGTCCTTGTTTATAAGTTCATATCAGACAAAACCTTTCTCGGATCAATTGAATTAAATCGGATTTAAATTTAAACATTCCCACATTATTCTTAATTAAAGTTGCTGATATGTGCCATGATGATTTTTTGAAAGTTTGATCACATAATGACATTGCACATTCTTTAAAAATGTCCTTTTCCTCTGCAATCACACCAGTCACAATCCGAGTTTGTTATTTTTTAAAGATCATTTGCATATTCGACTTGTCCTCGATTGGGTATATTTTATATCTACATTTTCAGCTGTTCATGTGATATTATTTCTAATGATTTTTAATATTTTTAATATTTAAGTTGTATTTTATTATTATTTTTTTTTTTACAGAAAATAATGTTCAATTTCGTTTCATATAATAATTTGAATATCTGTATTGTAAAGACGCCTCAAACGAGAAAACAAAGACGTGTTGCTAGTGTCGAAGAGCATACATTATTTGCAAAACTTATGCATAAAATGTGTGGAGATAACAAACAGTATTCGAGCTCAAATGTTAATGAAACATTATAAAATAGAAGCCGAGCAAACAGGAACCCCCAAGACATCAGAGGTGGGATCAGGTGCCATGGAGGAGTGAGCAGCCCCTGTCAACCGCTCACAACCGCCGTGCAGTCTTTGTCATGATCGACAAATAACGGAAAAATCCGTGGATAACCCTGTGTGCTGATTGATTATTATTAATGGTTTGATCCTTTATAAATATTACTAGTTTATCTGGAGCCAAAAAATATTCTTTTCGAATCCTTTATGAAAACTGATATCATAAAACATATTTATTTTAAATGCTACAAGATATGAACAAAAAAATTATATGGTTTGAAACGTAATTTCAAAGTGTAACTGTATGTTAGATATGAGTTCTACATGTGGCATATTTCAAGGAATATGTAAGACTTCAAATACAGGAATGCTACTTGTTAATCAGAAAGCAAACCAAAAAATTGGCATAGTGCCTTGAATGAATAACATAATTAGTTGCTAATTTTCTTTTTTTCTGTATTTGAAATTTTTCTCTAGTGAATGTTTTACTTTCTTTGATAAATAGAGATCACTTGACACAATATGCTAATGCACCACTTGTTATTCTTGTAAGTGAATTTAATATTTGCCTAATCGGTACTAATATATCTTATATGCTCTCTTTTCAAATACAAGGGTTGTCCCAAAATTTCGTAGACTGAGCTCATATCTTTTAAAGAAATTAATGTATCTTTATAAAATTTTCAGGGTGGATAAAGCGTGTTCTTGACAGATAAATTACGAAGTTTTATGATGTTTACTTGAAAACTTTTCGAGTAATAACATTTAAAGTGATATCATTCTCTAACACCCGGAGCAATCTTCAACGTCAAAAAAACCCCAGATGTCAACAGTTCAAATTTTGGAGAAAATATTTCAATTAACAGAATCAAATTCTTAAATTAAACGAAACGGTTATAGTTATAAATGTGAAATATCTTAATTACTATGATATGATCAAACAATAAAATATGTAAACAAAGTTTATGCATGTACAGGTATGAAATAATAATAATTTGAAAACGCTACATTTCTACGGGCCTTTCGTCTGTTTTCTCTAAGGGAGTTGCACAATGCAACTCTTGCCCATTTCTTAGCCCCGTCTTTTATTTTAGCTACTGTTATTCACATATACATAGAGAAACCGTTTTAATCATTTTAAATACTCAGGATGAGAAAAAGTTTCCTAGTCTACCAAACCGTTATGACTGGTAAATTTTTGTAAGAGTGAAATTCAGGATCAAAACACTTGATCATAGTCCAGTGCGCCGCCTGTGCCAACGCAGCCGCCATTTTTCAGAAAGTCGGATTTCAACCTCATGTATATAAAACGTTATAAAAATCATATTTATCAAAGCATTAACACCAGAATTTGGAGAAATGTAGTTTATAGAACAATATATAGAATTTTCATGTCCATTAAAAAAAAATACGGGGTAGTAATTACTTTCCGTAGGATTTTAAATATAATGTACTAAATTTCAATCGCAACTCTTGGGTATTGCGCCGTCTACCTACACCAGACAATGAAATGTGTCTTTTGAATTGGAATAATTTGTGTAGTTAATCCATATTTGTCCATAAATTTATTAGATAGTGTTGGTTTAATCTATATACGAAGTTTCATTAATGTATGACATAGGGTTCCTACAAAACAACGCTTGTCTACGGAATTTTGGGACAACCCTCGTACAGTGGAATTAAGGAATTACTATATCCTAATTTTGGTATTTGCGACCGTTAATGCTGATTTAACAGTCACAAACTGAGTTTTACCGGCGACGCGTAAACAATGCCGTTAAATCAGTATTAACGGTCGCAAATAAATTAGATGATTAGTTATTCACATTATAATAAATCCATGCATTCTGTTTATTGTTTACGTCTTATTTTGATGAGTTTCGTTATAAAAAATATGTCACGAGGCATTGTGTATTTGCGTCGGTCTATTATGACGTCACAATGAAAAGCTTTCCCTCTCGTTAATGCTCATTTTACGGCTTCAAACGTCAGTGCGTTAGTCAATCAAAACGTGTCTTACAAAACAGTCGTATTAGAATTCACAAATTGATAGACATTTTAATGACCTTCTTGCAAAAAAAAAAAAAAACAAAACAATTATCCGCACTGTTTTTGCTCATATCATGTATGCCCACTATCATATAATTCAGAATCAATCCAGTGTCTTGCTGTCCATACCCAGTCCAGCCAACTTCCCGTTAACCCAATTTTATGGGAAAATCTAGAACTTGCCTTGAGGTGCTTACATAATGCCATTCCAACCGACCTCTGATTACCCCAGTTTTATATAAAATCTAGAAATTGCTTTGTTGTGCTTATGTAATGCCCTGACTATCTAAAATAAATACTTCTATGAATGTTAATCTATCAACAACTTTTTACAAGGGACATGCATATTAATTGTTTAAATTTTACAAAATTTAACAAAGGAATCCCCTGCAGACACCATACTGATTACTTTAGCAAGCTTTTCCAAAGTCAAGCACCGCATACAATTGAATATTTTTTCTGTGTTTTTTAAAAAGTTCTGACATAAAGAACACAAACGCAAAGATAAAAGAAATTTATCCCTGCAAAAAATATTGCAACGTTTTTTTGAAATGGTTCAGCTTTAGTTAATATTAAGTTATTAATCAGTTTAATGCTTACTTACAGTGTAACTCTGGAATAACATTATTTTATATCAGACAATTCATAAATAAGTTTTTAAAAGTTAAAAATAAATTTTCATTGGCGGTGCGTTAGGAATTTTGTCTAGTGTAATTCATCTGTATTTGCTAAGATATTTACCATTACCACACCTCTGTTGATTTTTCGACGAAATCCTGGTTTACGATTGGTTGAAGTCTGTCAAGTGAAGGAGGTGGATAACTTATTCCCAGTCAATTGTAAATCAATACACAGTCGATGTTTTTATATCAGCCTTTCTTTACATACATTCTATTTTATTAGATATTCATATGATGCATTCATTTACAGCAAAATTTTTACTCGAAAACATCTTCTTTGGTTAAATTTTTTTTTCATTTTCTCTGAAAAAATACAAAAAAAAAATATATAAAATAAGTAAGAGATAATATCTGTCTTTCAATGCTGAAGCCACAATTATCCATCATTCGGACGCATGTCTTTTCACAAAATCATATCGAATCGGTTTGATGATCAAGACTTAAATCCATTGTTTATTTCATTTATTTCCCGGTCGACAATTAATGGTTCCATTAATGTTTTACTGTCTGTTTAGATGTAAGGTATTAACAGGTCATTAAAAACTAGAGTGACACTTCTATGTGAATTTCTTTTTTACTGTATGAGGCTTTAAGTGTTCTGGGTGCATTACACCATTCGTACTGTACACATTATTTTTTATGATAACATGCGGTCTCCTTCCAAAAACTTTGTCGTATATATTTTCTGGAGCATCCATATATATTCCTTTGTCTTGCATGTTGTTTTCATCTTTGAAATGTTCCAATGGAATAGATTCATAAGCATTGTCTACAATGGGTATTGACTTAGGGAATATGTGTCCGCTTTTAGACTTGTCTTGCATATCTCTTGACTTTTTAACAGATGTATTGAAAAACAGAGAAATTTTAACTATTAAGATTTAATAGAATAATTGATGGTTTTAAATGCTACTAATACACAAAATAAGGTTCAGAACATTGGTTCAACATTTTATCTGATAAAGTTAACTTACAGTAATACCATTTATTAAAAAAAAAAAAATAATGATCGTTACCTGTCTCTACGATGCTTGCCGATGTAAATACCAACTGCCACCAAAGTTATTTCAATTACAGCAATCCCAGTTGCCATGATAGCTGTAATATTTTATTTAAAGATGGAATATGTTAAAGTTTTGAGTGATTGAGTTTATTATGTTTAAGGGTACTTACCACAAACAAAAAATGGATGCACGGCTTGATATATATATTTTTTTTGACTGATTTCGATTTGAAATGACATAAATAATAAATCCCTGAATTAAAAAGAAATCGTAGGTTTTCCTTGGTGCTTAGATAGGAGATTTTGTTTTGCTTTCTATATAATTACATACAAAATTTTGCACAATTTTTTAACCTGATGACAAAATCTTACAAAATTCTCCCAATCTACTTGGTAAACATTATTCAGGTTACCAATTTGAATGTAAATCTGAGAAATAATGCTGATTTCTGAAAAAAAAATTGTTTGTGTTATTTATCCTTAAATCAAACAGAATGTAGGATTTTCATCAAGCCAGCTAGCGCGTTGTAAAAATATACCCGTAGAACCAATTTTACATGTTTAAAAACCAATAACCAATATATTATTTGAATACCCCGCCCCCTTCATATCGTAAGATCTAATTATAAACGAAACTTTTTAACATCATTTAGCCTTATATTTCTTCATATCATGTTTATTTGGTATGAACCCATCAATAGCAAAATTTATTAACAAGACTAAATAGGACTATTAATCAACTTTTTTAAAAAGTGCTTTTCATATCATGAAAGTAAAATTTTGAAATTAATTTGTATAAAAGATTTTCAAAAAAAAAAAAAAAAAAAAGTGAAGCAGTAAGTTGATGGACTGTTATTGATATTGTAACATCTCATCAAATCTTTAAAAAAGACTTTGTAAAGGTTAATTTATTACTAATTTTTTTTTGGTTATGATTATGAGCACCATTTTCCTATCCTTCACAAGTAATTTTATACTCATGATAACACATTTAAAAATTAAAAACTTAGGCACAAAAGTAACCCTAAACCTGAAAAAATGTTAACTTATGCGCTGTTAGTTCTAAGCTTTCAGAATTCATGTACATGTACCTGTTTTCTCTCCAATATTTGCATTTTTGTCCGCTGTCGACTGATTAGTTGCTGTTGTTGACTGATCCAAATCACTTGAGATTGGCCTGAATGACTTCCTTTCTGAGGTTGTTTCATTCATTATAGTTGTTTTTCTTGTTGATAACGGCAGTGTTGTTGTTGTCTTGAAGGTCTTTGTTGTTGGTTCTGGATGTTTTGTTGTTTTCTTGGAGGTCTTTGTTGTTAGTGTGGTAGACTTTATTATTTGTTTGGTAGTCTTTTTTATTTGTGTTGTGGTCTTTGTTGTGTGTGCGGTAGCCTTTGTAGTTGCTGATCGACTGACTAAAAAAACAAAGATAAGGACAAAAAAGATATTCTTTTTGCCTTAAATCAGGTAACATATTGCGGAAAAAATCTTTTACTATTTTACATACCTCTCCATTTTAGAATAAACCCTTTCCCTTTGTCCCGTTTATCAGAAACAAAATTAATCCTTATCAATCTACCCTTAGCAATCTGAGGAAACGAACTAAATCGACCACATCTGTGCATGGGGTAATAGCAGCACGGATCTATTACTGTAACAATGTGTAATCTGAAGAATAATTCAATATATATACACATTATATCAAAAATGCAGTGAAGATATTAAAAATATATAAAATCATTAATCGTACCTTTATTTCCATTACCATTCAGAAACTATTAAATTATCATTTAAATTGTGAATACATGTACACAATTATACCAATAACAAAATTACAGCATAATATGAAAAGCTGATAGAAGTCTGATTGAAAACAAATGAACTTATATAAAATGAAAATCTTTACCTTTTACGTTAATATGATGTGACATAAAAGTTATTGTATATATTTTAAGATATTTTAAGGTTAATGAAATGGAAAATAAGTTTTACCTGTAACATGTGTAAGAAATCCTCATTGCAGGAGGAATATTTATATTTGAAAATATCAAAAACATCGAATTGAAAGGTAACTTTTGCTTTCTCGTGTCCAGTATCCAGACTCCATGTGTAATTGACGTTGTTTGGATAGTTACCAGGGAAACCTGGAGAGGTCAAACTACCCCTGATACCTGATATGTTCTTTGATACAAAAAATTTATTGTATCCACAACCTTAAATTTCAAAATTAATGATTTAATTCACAAAGATTATTATTTACTGGTAAATCGTTTCCAATATTATTTAAACAAAAATGATATAGTTAGGATATTAACTTACGTATTTGAATCACAAACATACACAAAAAGAAAAACCAGTAGTTCATTTTATATTTTTAGAAATTTTTAAATATCTATATGTACATGGTGCATGCACATAATTAAATAATTACAAACCTTCATAAATGCTTTAATACAAGGAAATTGCAACCGGAATATTAAATTTATTTCACAACAAAGCACTTGTTGATAATTTGACATTCTGACAACAAATTCACGGATTCATTCAGCTCAAACGGATGTAAATTAAAATATTTCTATCTGATTCTTAATTATAGACGTTGATTTGTAAGATCATTTAAATCATAGATGTTGGTTTGTACAATCATGATTTTTTTCAGTTTGATAACCTTATGACTTTGACCATACTTTGAAATTGATCTTTTCTCCGTTTTCGCGAATCAAAATACAACTTTTCCAGTATTTTAAAAAAGTTACCAAACAGTCGATATTTAAATAAATAAATCTTAGTGTGATAAAAGTATCATCCGTCCATTTTTGTTGGAGGGTGAGTGATATTTCATAACCTTGCTAATTGAATATTTTTAACACAACATCAAGTTTTTTTGTCTTGACTCCTGTCCTTCTCATTGGAAGAATGGAAATTTATTGAGGAATATTTAAGATGTATTTTTTGACAATAGGATTACAAGTGGAATGTACATGCGCATGGATAATACTTGAAAGAAATTGATATGACTTTGATAAAATAATGATTCTTGAGATTCTTTAAACGTTTTTTTAAATAAAAAATGACGTAAGAAAGGAAAACAAATTAATATGATAGAATGAAGATAGGAAACGGGCTGTTCAAAGCTATATGAATTAGTTTAAAATGCAATTGAGATCAGGAATGCCGCAAGTCAGCTGAAAATATGAAAGAAAACTTACATGTTTAAAAGCAACTTAAAAAGTTTTAAAAAAATCTTTATACCTAATTTCGTTTCAATATGTGCAACCTATGCGAAGAAATTGGACGGAAATTGCAAATAATTGGAATTTTTTTAAGTCCAAGGGGTAAAACTCTGTAAAAAATGGCACGATCTTACATAATCAGAACTTGACCTTGATATTAAACTGTTATATCGGTACACCAAATTTCATATCAGTATGTGCAACGGTTAAGAAGAAAATGAACAGAAACTTATCGGACCGACAGACAGAAGAAAAGCAATATGCCCTCCTTCTTCGAGAGGGGGGGGGGATAAAAATTAAATGAAAAACAACTAACAAACAGTATATGCCAACTTTCACAGAAAAATGTTTGCTAGTTAGGAGAAAAAAAATAAACACAATGTGTTAATGAATTTTGAACAACTCTTTCATGTGAAATCTAAATTAAATGATTGTAACTTAGATGATCTCCAATTACCAATTTTACAAATACTTGTATTAATATTGAACATAATTCTTGTTTTTCTATGCACATTTAACATTTCACTAGTTTTAATTTTGTTCTCATTTTTCTTTGAATTTTTTTTTATAGTCCCGCATCCAGATCCTAATAATAACCTAATAGTATATAAAATCATACCTAGATATGCTATTTCTGGATATTTAAATATGGATTATGTAAAAAACTTTTTCCTAGTCAAGTTACATGTGCAAGACCCAAATTAAAAGGGAGAAATCTAAAAGCTAATTTTGGAGAATGATATGTTTAGGAAGCAGATGAAATCATACAATTCAGGTTTGAAATGGAAAGAAATAAACTATCATTGTAATGGAATTACACAATGGAATGCTCAACCTAATTAAATAAATCTTCATGAAATTTTACTAAATGCTGGATTAATAAGATCATCATTATCATGATTAAAATGACCACAAACACACTAAGGATTTATTTCTCTTATAAAATGTTATATCTTGTTAGACCTTTCCCTCACATAAATGTGGTCCCTCTCTTTTCTACCTACCAAATCTCATTGTGCTCATAAAATGTTTACTTCAAACGTGTACTTATCCGGACAATCCCCAGGGATATACTCCCAGTAGTTTGGCCATAAGTGGGTAAGAGGGTTTGTACAGTTTTACATTGGAAGGATGGCTATAAACGGGGAACATCACTTAAAATCGAACTACTTCCGAAATGTATTATTTGCATAACTTACAATCAAAATAGGTGAAAAAATATACCAATCCTGACATTCATTTATTGTTTCTATCGTCTGTCCTCAATTCTGAACGACAATTTCTAAAACAAAACATACTATTAACAAACAAGTTTATTAAACATGAATATCAGCTGTCTCGTTCAAATTTATTTTTTCAAACAATTTACGGTCTATACAATGCCTTTGTCAGAGAATACTATCTATCATTAAATCAAGTGCTGGCTGACGTTTTATATTGTTTGGCCATTATTAAAACAGAAAAGAACCACGAATGATAGTATTGTTCTCCCGCCTACCTCTAAGTCAATTCTCAAAAGTTAACATATTAGAATGATTTTCAAAATTTTTATAGATATTTATATGAATTTTGATAAAACATTACTGTTTTGGGGTACCAAAGAGAGATAACTCTATAATTTTGGTAAAACTTGAGTTTTTCACTATAGAAATCAATGGAAAACGGAAAATATTTTAAAAACATCTTTCCTCCCCGTGAAACAAAAATTCCTTTTTACAGGTAATATAGACTGTCATTTTACAAATTTATGCCAAAGCTTTTTGTGTTTCACGGGGGGGGAACATATGTTTATAGACAAAAAACAAAAAAATGCTGATTTTTTACCAATTTTAGAGCTATTTTCAACTACATAATTTGTTTTATTAATTTATATATGTTTTATTTATTTGCGTAAAACATAAGAAAAGATATGAGATACATTTTATCATATTTAAGACTATTTCAAAATATGGTGATTCTTGAAAGTTCGATTTCACTAGAAAATATCGTCTACCCCCCTTTTTTCGAGAGCTGAAATTAATGATAATTTACTATCTAGCGCTGGAATTAAAATGATTAATCAAATACCATATAACTGTTCTTTGTATTAAACAAAGATTTAATGGCCAAATTGCCATTAAAATGGAATTTAATAGGTGCAAAATGTAGGCGGGAATCAAGAGTTAGAGTACGTAGTTCTTTGTTGTCCGAGTGGTACAGTGATTAAAGCATCAGCTCTAGATTCTAGGACTCAGGATTTGTTCCTTACATCGAGGGTTCGAATCCCAATGTGTGACGTGGCGACCGGTCCTCGGATGAGACCGTATAAACCGAGGCCCTGTGTTGAATATTTTTAGTATATTGCTAAGCATGTTGCATAAACCTCATCAACTCTTAACTCGATTTCCGGTATATGCTAAACGTTAAGCATGGTATGTACCTTTCTTAAATGCCGTAGCATATTGTTTAAGAAATGTAATCAGTAATAACATAACGTTAACATTTAAAGGAATTTTACCAAAAATGAAATGAAAAAAAAATAATCTGCATGTGTCTACTCATGTGGCTTTTAAAGACTTATCAAGACGCTAGCGATATAAAAAAGGATTAAAATATGACATCATTTGATTGTTGCCTAGTTTTGTCAACGTCCAGTACTTGTGACAATGCAGTGTACATGGAAACGCATTTTTCCAGTTCACAAGTGCTATGTTCTTCTAGTTATTCTAAATATCATCAGACGTATTTGATTTTCCCCAAATTATATGAAATATAAACAATCATTCAATCACGACCTGAATCTTGAATTAATTGAATCAAAAATGAAATGTCTAAAAATCTAAGTATAACGCAAAAAAAAAGCATGAAACAGAGAGATGTACATATGTAGAGAGAGATTTGCCTTTTAAATATATCTAATATTTTTTGATAGTTTAATGTTCTGCTGATATAACCTGCATTTAACTTTTATTAATTGAGAAAAATTTAAAGATTTGATGACTTTATGCTAGAAAAATCCCAAATATAACACAAGATTATAAATAGAAATCGAAACAAAACCCACATTTATCATGGAAAAAAAATGCATAACATTACTTTTTCTCTACATCCTCCACAGTTTATTCATCGTTTTTTTCTCTGTTTTGTTCAAGTTAAGACGATAATTAAAATATGTTGTCGATATCAAAGAAAGTATTTTGATAAATTATCATGAATATGTTATTATTATTTTATAAATTTTTGTATTTTTTGCCTTTTTCTTCATGACTAGTATTTGTTTATATTTAATTGAAAGCAGAATTTAAGTGACTTTATTAAGATGGAAGCAGTGTACTTAAGCAGATTTTGAAATGAAACATGGTGCTTAGAATTTTTATGCAACGGAAATTAAGCATGTTATTCAGCTAATATATGCTTAAGAAAATCCTTTGAATTTTTATGCAAACGAATCCTGATGTTAAAAAAGTCCGTGTTTGCTTTGTATCAAAATTTGGATTAATGGACTTTTGAGCTTGAATACCGTTCGTTATAGCCACATAATATGTTATTGAATGTTTATGATGTTTGTCTCACTAAGTATCTGCTCGACTTATTTGTTTATTTTCGCATATGAATTTTACAAATTGTTATTATTTTCTCATAATTTGTTAATTTTAATGTCCGAATAAACTTTTCAGATTTCACAGATTTCAAATGTATCTCGATTCTCAATTTCTCATTCGAAGACTTGGGTATTTTAAACTCCCTAGCGATTTGATCAGACAGATGAAATAAAACAATGGGCCAATTAATGGAACATAAAATGAAAGGCATAATTATTCACAGGTATGAAATATATCGCTCAAAATTCAAACATAATACCTAGTTGATCTTGCTTAGAAAATCATTATAAATATTCTGGAATTAGTGAAATGCTGAGTTTAAAAAAGAAATGATTGTGTAATCAATTTATTTGTCGTTAGCTTGAATGGAGTAAAAAAAAAAAGAAACAGTACTTATTTCGTCATTTTTAAGGATCAAATAAGATGACACTTATGACGCAATATGCAACGATAGTCAAATATATCCTGGTGAGCTTGAGATAAAAGATACCACAGAGTCCGACACTTCTGCTTCATATTTGGATATTTTACTTGAAAAAGACTCTAATGGTAATCTAACAACTAAGCTGTATGATAAACTTGATGACTTTAACTTTTCTATCGTCAACTTTCCTTACTTATGCAGCAATATACCTTCATCACTTGCATACGGAGTATATATATCTCAATTGATTCGATACGCAAGAGCATGCTCTACGTATGAACAATTTCTTAAACGAGGTAAATTATTGACAAGCAAATTGATGAAACAAGAGTATCAACAGTCTCGTTTAAAGTCATCATTTCGTAAGTTCGATGGTCGATACAATGACCTTGTCAGCAAATACAATTTATCATTGAGTCAAATGCTAACTGACGTTTTTCATACCACTTGTTAGTCCATTATTTATACACTGAATTGCGGGTGTGACCGGTCGGCAGGGTATGCTCACTCCTCCATGGCACCTGATCCCACCTCTGTTGTTTCGGAGGTCTGGTTTGCTCTGCTCTAATTTTGTATATTGTATATTGTTTAATGGATTTTAAGATTGAATACTGTTCGTTATCTCCATATCCTTAATGCAACGATAGTCAAATAGAACTTCATAACTAAGGAATTAAGATGAAATAAACATACAAAAAAGAATATCCCGGGGGAAAAAGCCACGATCATATATGGTATTAATGCATGAATTAAATGACGTCAACTTAAACAGGAAAGGGTTCAAGATAATCTACCGAAGACTCCTCACTGGTCGTGACTTCTTTCTGCGAAACACTTCCTTGGAATTTAAGGTATTGTCTGCTTTCTTGAATTGGTGTTTCAATTGTATTTGCGGAGATTCTTGTTGTTGATGGCTGAAAAAGATATTGATTTTTTTTATTAATATTTCAAGAAACAACTCTATATGATAGGGCTTACATGTAAGTATTACAAGTCCTATAAAAATGAAAGAATAAAACGTATTTTACATTTAACTGAAATGTTTGTACTAACTTTGAACCTATCTTGTATAAATAAAATATCCGTATTTCAATTTCAACGAGGCCCAATCTAGCTGGAAATTACGAAAACGGATCTATATATCTTTTTATTCTTGGAAATATATTTGTATGCATTATGCTAAGAAAAATTTGAATGAAATTTTGTTACCTTGCCTTCATTGTAGTGAAATGGGGGCATGTTCAAGATACGGACCATTTTTCATGTTTTCATACACAACTATATACAAAAAGTCCCCAATTAACGAAGGAAATGACAGATTGGAAAAGAAGATAAATAATGAAATATTTTGTTTTTTACATGTATAATGCAATTTCTTTTCCTCTTTTACAAATTGAAAAGGAAATTGGACGTAGCCTTTATTGCAGTTAAAAGTGGGCATATCAAAACACAAAAATGGCATTATTTTATCCAATAATATATTTTATAAGTCGAAATGGGTTTACATCAAATCAACGACTGAATGTAAAACTGTATTAATTTTTGAAAATTAAATAAGTCTTACATTATGACATAATTTTTTTTCTTTCCTTTAGTTTTTTTTTCTTAACACACGACGTTGTTTTACTTTAAAAGGCGGATGAAAAATACAAAATAACGAATTTTACTTATATCATGTAATACATGTATAAGGATTTTAAAGATTCATAGAAGTAATAGTTTTTAAACCCAAGCTTATCCATGCATATTTACGTTATCAATATAAAAAGAAGCTAGTACTGAGTAAACACTTGAACATTTTCAAGGAGAAATGCTAAAAACCGCTTACTTTTGGTTGCAAGTTATTTAAACTCACAAATTGAAACCAAGATGAAATCAATGAATCTCTACCTAGAAATTGATACCTAAAATAAATTATGTTCCAGAAGAGGCCAGAATGAGCGAGCTTTTCAAAAATGCACAGTCTATAGAGCTACCAGGTATGCGAGATTTCCAAAAACATTTTAGCGCAATTTGACGTCATTTCAATTGTGTACTGTGTACTGTGATTATGCCTGAAATAGCGCTGCATGAAACCGTATGCACAGATCAAGTTGATCGGAACTTGTTAAGTAAGAAAACATTTTTTTCTTTCTTTCATTGAAAACAGGCAATATCAGCTATAAATCCTGGTAATATTTCAGCAGACGTTCTTCTACTACTCACGTCGTTTTCTTTGATTTCAATCCAAGTAGAGCTATGGTACATATCTGAACATTCGATTCAATATCAATTGAAGAATGAATACATACCCATCTGAAAGCAAGCGTTATTCTTGATAAGAATATCTCTTGAAAACCTGAATGATAAGAAAATGAACATAAGTGATGAAATGTCAAAGTAGGGGAGCAGTAGATAAAAATACAAGTATATTAGACTTAAGGTCATTTGCAACGCAGGGTTTTCGGAGAAAAAAAGGTTTATACATAGGTTTTTTCACTTATGAAAAAAATGTCATTGAGAGTTATCTCCCGTATGGAATTCTCTAGGCGCTGAAAACAAATAAAGCATAAAGAATAGGTACATGAATACTGGGAAGTGCAAAGATGTAACATAATTATGCTGAAAGTGGTGATAGCTAGGTAGACCGGATGAGAACGATTCTATAGGTTATTTGAAGGAGGCACCATTAAAAGTTACCAATTAAACCTTGCAAAAATGTTTTATGACAGTTCGTTTCCAATAAAGTAAATTATAGAATAGAACAAACAATTAGTCTCTTGATCATTATGAATATTGATTAGATGTTAAAGGAAGTAGCTCAAAATTTAGACCAGTGCTGGTATTTTTGTGTTTTGTTTCAATATTTGCATTTTCTGCCAAAGTATATGCGTGTCATCGGAAATGATGATTCAACAATGTATTTTATGTATAAATGGGTTTTGGAGAACACTTAAGGTAAAAACTAATATAGACCCATTTTATCAACATTTTACATAGGAAATGCATTGAAAATTGTACAAACATTAATTTGACAAAATCTATAAAAGAAGGTTGACTTGATGGGTAAAAAGGGTTTGAATTGAACATGTTTGGTAACATTAAACCTGTTCAAAAAATCTTGAAAAATTCTATATGAAAGCCAGAAACATTGCCAATGTCCTTGAGAAAATGTTATGTTTTTTTTGCCATCCACGCGATCCTTGTCCTTGAATCCCATGGACTCCAGAACCTGCATTCATGGTACCTTAATACAAGTAGGAACGGGTTATAGCACACCCGCCTTTTCTCTTCAATTAAGACATGCCATTAACAACATTTTACAAACATGTCATTAAATATTAAGGCTTTTAATGCCATAGATAATCGAAAAAATAAATGAAATTCTACTTACGAGTGTTTTGTTCACTAATTCAGTGTATGTGGGTTGATCTTGACCGACACAACTACTCCCTCCAACGTGGATATGTGTTGACCAAATCGAGAGGCGTGTTATAATGCTTTTAAGTACAATAACACTTTACAGAATGAAATATTGCATATCTACTTTCATTTTTCAAGTACATAAACGTTTGCTTTTTAACGTTTTGCAATTTAAAACCTTTTTAAATCGAAAAAACACAAAGCTTCACCTTTTTTTCATGTTGAATATTTCGATCGATTTTCACTTCTCGTATGTTGGTCTTATATCTAGTTCTCGCAAGGAAAGCTGGTCGGACTTTTACGGATTTTCTTCATATTTTATTATGTTAATCTCCGAATTGTTCCAATTTACGCCTAATAAGGTAAGAAGTTATGTATGTGTGCTACGTGATCATTCAATACCTTGTCAGCTTGTAAAACAAGCAACATGCATACATTATATTAAACAGTTATATAAGACCTTTCCCTACTATGATGTTTTAGATGTCCGGTTTGCTCTGCTCTTGGTTTTATTTTGTGAATAAATCTTTGAGCTTGAATACAATTCGTATTATCCTTATCAGCAAAAGATACGTTAAGATGTTGTAATCGATCGGAAAAAAGGATTTCAAACTCATTTTTACAGAACAAACAATCCATAGATATTTTGCGTTTACATTGTTTTAAATGCAAAGATTAGTTGCTGTATCATGCAGATAATTTTTTTAATAGTCAATCAAAGGTGTATTAAATGTAAACAACCCAGATTCCTTTTGAGAATATGGTTACCTTGTTTGGTGTCATATAAATTACAAAGTGGATTCTTTGCTGTATTTTTCATTGTTGATTTTCTTTGCATTCTTGTTGTTCGTGTGATGCTTTCTGTTGTTCCTATGGTGTCTTTTGTTGTTTTCCTGGAAGTCAATGTTGTTCGATAAGGGAGTTTCGTTGTTCTTGGTGTAGACTTTTGTGTTTTTGTGATGGATTTTGTTGCGTGTGTGGAAATCTTGATTACTTCCGGTCGACTGACTGATATAAAAATAGTTTGAAAATCTAAAATCACAAGGAAACTACTTTAAACCATATTTATTCAATAGTTCTTTTATTATACCTTACCTATCCATGCTAGACTAAACCCTTTTGCTGTGTACCATTCATCAGAGACAAAATTGATTCTTATCAATCTACCCCTCACAGTCAAGGAAAAAGGGCTATATTCACCACATATGGTCATCGCGTCAAAACAGCACGGATCTATTTCTGTTATCTAAAAAACAAACATCAGATTCATGAACAACCTGTTATGTTTCGATAAAGTACATATAATAATTTTATCATTTATGATATCAAAAAATATACATATATAGTTGTGTCCTTGTGACATGACCCGGCGAGTTTTTCTTTAAAGTCAAGCATACTGTAACTGCGATACAGAACACTTTTTGTGGGCGTTTCTTATGCAAATAAGCAGAAACTGTGCTGTATCTGCAAAATATCAACGATACAGTATAATTCATCTTTAGCGATGACAGAAAGCTGTATCTGTATACAGACACAACAATCGTTCAATTCGCATGATAGAACTGGTAACATTTACTCAAAATTTGAGATGAATTAAGAGTAAAATTTTACAGCATTAATTTAATAGTGTCGGATTCAAAAATTTTAGAAATCAGGGAGTTTGGCAGTTCACAAATGATTACTTTGACCCCCCCCCCCCCCCAAAAAAAAAAATCAGTTGAAAATCATTTTTCGTGAGGTTAGATTTATAACCAACCAAGACACTATGTACATGATATCGTAATCTAGTGTATATAAATTAAAAACCGTATAATGTACAAAAGTTTATCAAAAATCATTTACGAAAGTGAAAAAGAAAAAAAAAGGTGGGATGAGAGGCACCAGTGAGTGCTTGGATCCCCTCTGTTTACACTACATTTTATTAAAACATGTAGGTAAAGTACCCCCCCCCCCTTCCTTTCATCTATTTATTTAAATTTTGTCTATGACGACCTGAGGAGGACATTGTCGGACACTTCTCTCAGATTACGTTTTCCCCAAAGAAAAATATTTCCACCTGATTCTTACGTACCTAGTATCAAAATGTATTGGATTCAATCGTAGCTTAAAGTTAAAAAAAATGTCAGCAAGAGCTGGATAGAGAAAAAATCCTACACAATGAAATCTAAATTAAAATTTTTTGGAAAACAAATTATATAATGCATCCCCTAAATAATTATTTCAAATGATAAATACCCGCACGTCCACCTCACTCGGCATTTCAGTTGCATTGCTTAAAATGAGATACTAAATCAACTTTCTGCAAAATCATCTGACTGGTTGAGTGATATGTACCCAACTACGCATGTAAATATGTGAGGTCATTAAAAAGGTCATGTCACAAGTCATTTAAAATACTCGTTTCCTACTGTGTCGGAGATACAGGGCGGGGCACGGCTGGAGCTATCGCTCTCGCCTCAAGCCCCGCCCTGTATCTCCGATGCAGTAGGAAACTCGTACTTTAAATATAACATAATAGTTTTGTATCCATTCACATCAAGAAAAGATATTTATAACAATTTCTAATTCTAAAAAAATTCTTTTTTTAAAAAACATTTTGATTGGCTTATGCACTGATGTTTGAAGCAGTAAAGTGAGCATCAAAGAGAGTAAAGGCTTTTCATAATAGAGGGACGCAAAAACACAAGGCTCATGACTTATTCCATATGACAAGATTCAGCAAATTAAGACGTAAAACAACAAGAAAAATGCATAAATTGCATAAGCATTGTAAAAAGTATGTTATCATTTGATATTTGCGACAATTAATGCAAACATCCGTTTTACCTTTGTAACGTTGAGTTATGACCCGGATTGGAAATTGACCTGGGGGTCATTTTTCAATTGCAACGTTGAATACTGAGACCAAAGGCGTTGAATTTAGACCCTAGTCCGTTTATAACTGAGCCGGGTCATAGAATTTTGATCATTAAACCGGTTCTATATTCAACAGCATAAAAAAACATATTTATGACTTGGTTTTCACAACTGTGATTTAATCAATAGGCGTCGGGAACAGGGGGGGGGGTTAGGGTTGCTTAGCCCCCCTACTTTTTTGCAAAGATAGACAAAATATAGGCATTGAACACAGTGAAATTGGTTTAAGCCCCCCACCCCTATTTTTTTCAACAGACACGTTACAGTGTATTCAAAGAAAGAAGAGTAATTGGTGTTACTTAAAAAAAAAAATTGGATCCTGACCCCATCCCGCAATGATTTCTTCTTATCTTTTCCAAAATAAACTTTTCTTGTTTGTAAAGTAATATTCCGCTACTACCTGTTTAAAATATGGAGGGTAAAACGTTGCATTAATATACTTTTTTGTTTTTCTTATTCAAGAATTGTCTTTATTATTATTATTTTTTTTTAATTTGAATTCCACAATGCTATATAGTAGAAACATATAATATGAACACAATATTTCATTGCAGCATTCATTTTTTGAGAGGGAGAGAGAGAAAGAGAGAGAATGCAAGAGATGATGTCATAAAAGAAAGTCGGTGATAGATAGAGTAGGTAGCAAAACTATTTTTGAGACAGGGTTTATTGATATTAGTCTGAGAGTATGGATTGCCAATTTTGCCAGGAGGCGTTAAACTCATCTATTTTATCACTTTCTCTGGCTGTATATTTCAATGTTTTGTAAATAATTTTGAATTCGTTCAGAAAACCATGGGTAGAGAGGCTAAGGTGTTGACAACGAACTCTGTAAACATATTGTTTCATTGACATAAGCAAAATATTATATGATTTTGATGATATTGTTTTACTTATATCTTCAAATATAAAACTTTTACCATCTAGATTTAATACAATGTCTTTTCGATGACAATGTCTAACAAAACCATCTAGAAATTGTTTTACAACGAGACATTGTCTTTATTTTTCCTAAATCATGTCATTGTTCGATAAAATATGATTCCTATTCGATTAATTGTTATTGTTGTGCGAAAAAATATTATATTTCTGTTCGAGAATCATCACCTTTAAGTTCCTATTCTATTCGAAAATATGTGATTCCTATTCGATAATTTTGTCATTTCTATTCGATAATAAAATGATTTCGATAATCATGTTAAACCTGTCATTCCTATTTAATTGAGTTTACATCCAGTTTTAGTTTTGTCATATTTCCCAGAATGCAATTACTTAAAAAGACTAAGAAAAACATCGCATAGGAAAGATCAAATTATGCAACAAGATAAAAAGTTTATCAATTAGGAATCGTATTTTTTTTTCGAATAAAAATAAATGCTAGTATGTTTTCGAACAACTTTATTACCTATAAACCAAAAACACAAAAGAAAGATGAAATTATCGAATCGGATTAAAAAATTTAGCGTATAGGAATCGCATGTTTTCCAATATGAATGGCATCGGATAGGAAACGCGTGTTTTGGAAAAGAATGATATACTATGATATAATAATCATATTGTCATATTTTCTCCAATGGGAAAAGCAATTCATCGAATACAAGTTACAAATTATCGAATAGGAATAACAACTAATCGAATAGGAATCACACTGTATCGAATGAGAATATGTTTTAGAATAAGGATAATCTCATTCTCAAGATTTTGCTCCAAAAACGATCATTTTTTAAGCCGAGGCAGCCTACTGACAGATAAGTTTGTTACAAGGATTTCACCAACCTTGTTTACGGACAGCATTACTTATGGTCGCTATATTGATCTTTTTTCACAAATATAACCTATCATTGGATTCATTCTGGCCGATGTGTTTCATTCTAATTTTTAGGCTTTTAATTTTTATAATTTTATACTGATTCTGACTAGATGGGATGTTCTGCCCACCTGATCAATATATATACATGGCTCACTTTCTAGATACCAGATTTCCAGGATTTTTGTTTTATGCCATATTCATAGTTTTGTAGTTAGTTATGGATGCTACATAATGGATTTTGGAAATTATTGTCAAACAATAAAGTTGTCATGCTTGAAGATAACTGAAATCATGTACTGATCAAAATGTAGATATGTACGCGGGATGATAGGTTTATTTATATTATTCTTGAAAAGTGAAAACATTGAAACCGAAATATAAATATGGAGATACTGATAAATCCCGGAAAACAACTTCCCAGTTCAAGAAATGTTCTTGAAAAAAAAAAAATCTGGAGTAGGTCAATATTCAACAGGGTCAATTTTCAACTTGTTGATGTCATCTTGGATAAGAAAAAGAATTATCAAGTTGTTGAAAAATAACCCCGGGTATAATTTCAAGGACTTTTGGTCTCAAATTTCAACGAAGAAAAATCACCCCCGGTTCAATATTCAACGTTGAAAAATGAACCCTGGATTAATTTTCAACTCGGCTCAAAATTCAATATTTTTATTCAACGGAAAAATCAGCTTGCGATCGTTATTGCAGCATTATCGGTCGAATAACCAAATTAAAAGATAGTTATTCCCATATGCAATATCCTTTACTGAATGCAAGCCGGCAATCATTATCATAAATTTAAACACAAATCAATTTTAATGAATCTTGCATAAATATAAAATAATGATTTTAGATAAATATCTGTATAATAAAATCAAAGATAATAAAATTGCTTCAACTTCGACATGATCAAACAAAGTTAAGAAAATCTTTTTAAAAAATTCTAATACAAGAAAAGGAAAAAAAGTTGCTGTCTTATGTGCTTGTCTATCAAGAATTGCATGCATATATCTTACCTTCACGAAATCATCAGTGCAGGAGAAGGTGAAACGATGTTGAAAAATATTCATAAAGTCAAAGAAAAATACAGCGGTAGCGTTGACGTGTCCAGTATTCAGAATCCACGTGTAGTTGATGTTGTTTGGATAGTTACCAGGGAAACAAGGAGAGGTCAAACTTCCCCTGATAGCTGTTATGTTCTTTGATACAATCACTTTATTGTATCCACAACCTTCAAGTTCAAATTTGATGATTTAATTAACATTTCTTATTATGCACTGGTAAAGCGTTTACCTTCTAATATTATATAAACAAAAATGATATGATTAGGACATTAACTTACTAATTTGAAACACTAACATATACAAGAAGAAAAGCCAGTCCATTTTATATTTGAGTAATTTCTAAATGTATATGAACATGGTACATGCATGTCAATTAATAATGATTAACATTCACAAAGTTGTACAAGGAAATTATAAAAGGATCATCAAGATTCTATTTCACAACAAAGTATTTATTTATAAAGTTATATCAAACAACAAAAAATCGGATTAATTGAATTCAAGCGGATGTAAATTTAAACAATCCTACATTATTCTTAATCATAGCTGTTGACGTGTACGATCATTATTTTTTTTTTAAATTTGATAACATATGAACTTAATGACTAATTGCACAAATTTATAAAGAATTTATTTTAATATTGTTTGTTTCCCAGCATTCTTAGAAATTAAAATCTGTGTTTGGCTATATTTCCAAATATGGATCACTTATTTGACTTGCCTATATTTTAGTTCTTCATTTTTAGCCGTTTTATGTGACATAACATTTAATAATTTTGATGGGATTGACACATTTTTTTTTTGTATTTGAATAATTTCATTTCACTTGTATCAAGCAATTGAAATTGAATCATTCAGAGGAACTTATAATATTTTGTATAAAATAACTTGTCTACGTCACAATGAGTTACGTCAAAAACGTATTACTCCGCTTGACGTTACTTTTGAAATAATTCTCAATTAGAAGCCTTTTTCCGGATGAAATATTGTCACGTTGTCTACTCTGAAATTAAATTATAAGGAATGAAGCTAATTTCAACTTATATCAACAACAACAAAACTTGGGGCAGTTTACGCTTTCTTATAAACCGCTTCGCGGTTTATAAAGCGTTAACTGCCCCAAGTTATGTTATATGGGATAACATAAGTTGAAATAAGCTTCATTCCTTAAATACGTAAATTTCTTTTCACAAAAATGATATTCAACTTCATTTCTTTTAATAACTTCTGGATATCTGAAATTTTAGAGACACATAAAAGAAAAATGAAACATGTGTTGGTAATGTCAAAGAGCTAAAAATAATGGCAACCAATAACCTTACTTATAACGTGAATTAACTTTAAATAAAAGTATTGATATACAAATATGGACTCAATGTAGGTCAATATGCATTTATAATGACCCAGGATGACAGATATTGACCGAAGATACATGTAGTATATCGACCGAGGGCGCTAGCCCGAGGTAATATAAATGTATCTGAGGTCAATACATGCTTCCTGTCATTACATGCATCAAAGTTGCATTGAGAAAAAATTTATTATATTATATAAATAATAATTTCCAAAATTTTTTAGTACAATGTATATCTTCCTTTAAGTTATGTTTACAGAGATAGTATTAACCATAAATAAGTTGAATGTAAATGTTTCAGAATTCATTGAATATCACTCAGAGGAAATTGTTTCGGTAATAAATTTTAACCAATATCATAATAATAACGCAATATATCTATCTCCGAGTAACACAGAATACCCCCTCCCCCAGATTGAGAATTGCACTCGTTTACACTTGCACAGGAAATGCACTCACAAAATATAAATACCTATGTCTTCTAAGATAAGATACAATCTTACATGTCTTTATTTTCTTTAGTCTCCGTAATCGCGTAAACAGCGTCAAAACTCTGCTCGCCGAGTGAGTGGAAAAATGAAAGGGTATCACCGTATGTGCTAAGTATTCCCGAAAAATTTTGACAGATATGCTTGTAATTGTTTTGTATTATCAGCCTCAGAGTTCTTCACTATGTCTTTTAAATTTTTCTTACCTACAACTTGCGAACTTCCATGTTTGTCTAAAGCGAAAGTGAAAACGAGGCAGCTCGTGCGAGTCATTATTCGCTTTCAGCAGTCGTTATTAAAAAATAAGTACTTCGTATTGACCAATCAGATTATCGGATTTCACAAAGTTATGTAATATTAAGTTATATGAAATAATGTGAAGAAGTAAATAGAAGAGGATTAAACTATTAATGTCTTTCTACGGTCTCATATCTGATTAAACCGACCGAAGAATGTCCATAATCATTGATTATCTAAATAAGGAAAACTTATCATGAAACCTGTTATGTTATAATGAGTCTTCTGAAGACAATCATACACTAGACAAGTAACTTTTATCAGCCAACATAATCAGAGGATTGACAACGAATAACAGTGCACAGGACCGCCGTAAAAATTAACAAAACACTGACAAAAAACTCTATGAACAGTGCTTGATTAAAAAAATAATAAAGTGGTTTATTTAAAAAATGGATTTCAAATTAAAAAAAAAAATTTTGCTCAAAACCCGTCTTTCAATTCCCCGTGATAAGTAGGGGAAACAGGTCTTATGTACGTATATGTTGTACAGTTGTACCTTACATCAATCTATACACCCAAAAGTTGCTGGCTAACAAAAGAGACAATGTAGTGGTTATGCAATTGCTTTTACACGTAGGGGTAATGACTATGACGATATAGCGTTAATGAAATGTTTCGGTAATGAAACGCACAGATTTTAATAAAAGAATTTATTTGTTATTTACATTTCAGTTTATTTTGTTCAGGAAAGAACTAATTTTCCGAAAACTTGATGTTTTCATATTTACCCAACTTTAACTTTAAATATTTATCCTTGATGTCTTTTTTATTGAAAAAAATATTACATGTAAATATATTTCATGTTTCAAAGGTACTTGGACACAGATTTGAAGTTAATATTTTCTCTATAATATTACGACTTACATATCTTAATGTTGTGTATTAATGAAATAAGGTACTTGGACACAGATTTGAAGTTAATGTTTTCTGTATAATATATATCACGAATTATATATTTTAATACCATTTCACACAAAAATTAATTAAAAATATTATTTCATTTAAAAATTATTTGAACTTTAAATTTTTTGGCGGGTTTGATTGACACATCCTTGCACTTTTACAAATTTTAACTTTATTCTTAATCCTTGGAAAAGTGGCAATTCTGATGTGTATTAATGAGAAAAATTAAAACTTAAATTAAGAAGAATAATTTTATTCAGCGTACAAATGTTAGAAAGCAGAACTACTTCACAAGTATCGTCATTCCGCTATGTACAGAGTTTTGCGAATCGATCACACTCGTGTTATGTACAAAGGTTTTTGTAAACATGTTATTGTTTGGTGTTTACGATTCACCGGGTGCGTTAAATCGCCAAAGTCTGTTCACCACATCTGCACGGACTGACAATATATTGTGCGTTTGTTTTGCTTTAGAACATGTCTACTCTGAATTTTCTGGATTATAGTATTAATATTTTTCATTAAATACACATCAGGATTGCCACTTTTCCTATGGATTAAGAATAAAGTTAAAATTTGTGAAGGTGCAAGGATGTGTCAATCAAATCCGCCAAAAATATAAAGTTTTAATAATTTTTAAATGAAATAAGACTTTAAATTAATTTTTGTGTGAAATGCTATTAAAATATGTAAGTCGTAATATTATAGAGAAAATATTAACCTCAAATCTGTGTTCCAAGTACCTTTAATACTATAATCCAGAAAATTCAGAGTAGACATGTTCGAAAGCAAAACAAACACATAATATATTGTCAGTCTGTGCAGTTGTGGTCGGCAGACTTTAGCGATTCAACGCAACAGGTGAATCGTAAACACCAAACAAATAACAGGCTTTTGCCATGATTACAAAAACTGTATACATGACACGAGTGTGCTCGATTTGCTAAACCCTGTAAACAACGGAATGACGATATTTTTGAAGGAGATTTGCTTTCTAACATTTCTACTCTGAATAAAATTATTTTTCTGGATTTAAGTTTAAATGTTTCTCATTAATACACAACAAGATTGTTACTTTTCCTAAAGATTAAGAAAAAAGTTAAAATTTGTGAAAGTGAAAGGATGTGTCAATCAAACCCGCCATAAAATTAAAAGTTTTAATAACTTTCAATGATATAAGATTTTTTATTAAGTTTTATGTAAAATGCTATTAAAATATATAATTCGTGATATCAAACAGATAAAAATAACCTCAAATATGTGTCCAAGTACCTTAAAGGTTATACCTGATTACAAATGGCACTGAAAATCGAAATCTTTAAACATGATTCCTGTGCATTGCTTTTGTTGCACTGGAAGGGAAATCTCCCCAGCGCTTTTCAAAAGTTTATGCATGCCCGCAGATCAGCTTTACAAATAACGTAGTCGCTGATATGACTGATATAAAGTCATCTGCGTTACACAGTGATTAGAGCGGTGTTTGCGCACGGAAATACTTGATGCAGTTCTCAAGAGTGTTGATATCACACATTTAAACGATTGACAGTCAAATACTCTTTTGAAAAATCAAAGATTTCAAACAAACAAAAAACAAACTGTGTTCTATTTTGTGATAGAATGCTTTAATTATATTATACTTGTAGAAGGTATATACCAACTTTCATGGACAGGGGTTTATGATCATAAATATCGTACAGCTCTTTTTGTGAATTCTGAATTTAAAGATTATAACTTATATTATTCCCGATGAACAATTTAACAATCACGTGTATTAATATTGAACATAATTCCTGTTCTTTAGTAAACAATTAATATTTCACTACCTGTTGATGTTAACTTTTTCTCTTGGGATTTTTGTACGCTCTGCATCCGGATCCTTATTATAACCTTAATAAAATATTATATTTCTGGATATTTAGATGAGAATTATGTGAAACAATTTTTCCTTGTCAAGTTATATGTGCAAGACCCAAATCATCACGGAAAAAATATAAAAGAAGGATATTTTCAGGAAGCAGTTGAGATCATACTATTTAGGTTTGAAGGGAACCTAATAAGCTTTCATTTCAATGGATTCACGCTGTACATGCAGTACAATGCTCAAGCTAATTGAATAAATATTTACAACAATTTTTATTAGATGTTTGATTAGTTAGAGTATCATGAACATAATTAAAATAATTAGAAACACACTGAGAATTAGTTTCTCTTATAAAATGTTAAATATGTTGATAAACCTTTCCCCGTGCATCAATATGGGCACTTCCATTTGCTCGGTACCAAATGTAAAAACACTTGTAAAAATGTCCCACCATATTCTTATC